ACCCAGGCTGGAGTACAGTGGCATGATCTTGGCTCACTGCAATCTCTGCCTCCTAGGTTCAAGCAATTCTCCTGCTTCAGCCTCCCAAGTAGCTGGGACTACAGGTGCACACTACCACGCCCAGCTAATTTTGGTATTTTTAGCAGAGATGGAGATTTGACCATGTTGGCCAGGCTGGTCTTGATTCCTTGACCTTGTGATCCACTTGCCTCTGCCTCCCAAAGTGCTGGGATTACAGGCATGAGCCACCGCGCCCAGCCGCACATCCTTTCAAACCACAGTAAGACATTGGTTTTTACTCTAAGTGAGGAACTTTAGGACATTGAACCAAAAAGTAACATAATCTACATTTTAAAAATGTAATGAGTGACTTAATATATTCCAAATAGACTATTAAAATTTTCTAATCAGCATTTTCTAAAGTTTAAAGTATTTTGGCTGCTTTATTAAGAACAGACTATGTTGGGGTGAAGGTCTGGGATTGGATGGAAGCAAGGAGACCATAGAAACCTGTTTCATTAATCTGGACAAAATGGAATGGAGGCTGAGATCAAGATGGTAGCAGTAGAAAGGGAAATATGTGGTTGAATTTTGAATGTATTCTGACAGTTCAGCCAATAGGATTTTTTGTAGGATTTAATGTGAAGTGAGAGAGAAAGGTGTTGAGAATTACTCCAGCTGCCTCTGTCCCCATTTTGGCCTGAGCAACTGAAAGGACAGAGCTGCCCTCGAGTGAAGTAAGGCGCCTACACATGGAGTAGGTTTGGTGGAGGACCATGAACAGTTCAGTTTTGAATGTTAGGTTTGAGTTTATCAAACATCCAATTGGAATTGTTGAGTCAGCAGTAGCATATTCTGGTCTGGAGCTCAGGGGAGTGGGTTAGGCTAAACATAACGAATTTGAGAGTCCTCAGGTGACTGCCTGGGATCACAGGGGGACTGCGTGCACATGGAGATCAAATGCGCACGAATGGAGTCCTGGGGCTCTTCGATATTCAGAGGTCCAGGAGAAGGTGCAGAACTGCAGGAAGCCTGGAAGGAGCAGCCCGTGATGTACAGAAAGGTCAGGGGATGTGGTACCTGGAAGCTAAATGAGGAAAGCATTTCCAGGAAGAGGAAGACATCAGCCATGACAGATGAGGACTGAGAAACTGAGGTTGGTAATGTGGAGGCCACTGGTGACCTTGGCAAAATCTGCTTTGTGGAAGCAAAAGGTTGATTAGAGTGGGTTTGAGAGAACTTGGGAGGAGGGCGACTGAGCACAGTGAGTACCATTCTGTCGAAGTTTGCTGTAAATGGGAGCAGAGAAACAGGGTGGTGGCCAGTATGGAAAGGATGAAAGGTTATTTTGTGTTTGTTTTATGTTGTTATTCCCATCTAGAAAACAACATATTATTTGTGTGCCAATAGAAATAGTTCAGTAGAGTGGAGAAAAGAGAAATGGAGAAAAGTCAGGAGAATTTGGCCCCATGCCCCTGAGTAAATTAGTGGGGAAGGCTCCCATCTTTGGGGGGAAGGCTCCCATCTTTGGGGGGAAGGCTGGCCTTGGATAGGGTTAGAGACAATGCATCTTTAAGAACAGGAGCAAGGCAGAGTGTAAGAGTTCACACGCCGGGAGGCTCAGGGCTTGTGGCAGTTTCCTTTGATTGTTCCAGTTTCCTCAGTGAGGTAGGAAGCAAAGTCATTACCTGTGTTTGAGAGAGAATATGGGGAAGGACATGACAGTGGTTTGAGGAGAAAGGAAAAGGTGTGAAATTGATATTTAAAAGAGAAGGAGGGTGAGTGAAGGGAAGCCCCAAGGACCCGCTTGAGGTTTGTGATAATGAATTTAAAGAGAAACAGGGCAGTATGGGAATGTGGCATTTTCTAGCTATGCAGGCACGAGAGGTGGAGAAGCAGATTCACTTGCAGATTCGCCCAATAAGTAAGATAAAACATGAGAAGGAAAAGTGTTGAGGGGTCATGCAAGGTAGTGAAAACTATGTTTAACCGTGGAGTATAAGCTTGGCCAGGAAAGCAGGGTGGCCAACTGTAGCGTGAGGGACCGTGAAAAGGTGGGTGGGAGGGGGGTGGGCAGAGATTGATAAAATAACTAAATATTCATCTGCATAGTGGGGGAGCAACAGATAATACCTAAAACTGAAAATAAATCTCTAAATGATAGCATGAGCACGTTATTAAAAATGTGAATGCAAATACAAAACAAATAGACAAAAGAATTGAAAGTTGTTTCCCTAGATCATGGGAAATTAGGCTTATAGAGCTGATTGACCTTTTAAAATAACTCTGTACATATACAATTTTAGTAAAAATGAAACAAATAATAACAGTATTCTCTAGTGAGGGGTTAAAAGGGAACTAAGGAGCAAAAATGTATAACGAATGATCAAACTAAAATTAACACCACAATTAAATTTCTCCTTCTTAAGAAAATATATTTTTACAAATCTGCTTAGGTATAGATTAAAAAAAAAAAATCATATCTCCCCAGGTTTGTCCACAAGGAAATTTTGGAATTCTGCTTCTCTAAGGACAAGTACACACAGACGCATATACAAGGATACTTACTGTAGCATTGTTTATAACAGAAAAATATCAAGAACATCATGAAATGATTACATATAAGGAATTGGTTAAATAATTTATAACCATTCAACCAGTAGAATACCATAAAATGGTGATGTGTGTGTATATATTTATATCACACAGAAAGTTGCCTATGTTACATGAATAAAAACAGATTATAACACTATATAAGGGATTATAAACACTATAATACTATGTATCTTGAAGAATATCACAAAATTTGTATGATTGTCACTGGCTTGTGTTATTAGAAGAGTTTTTTACATTTTTATTTGTATATTCCATTTTCTTCTATATTAAACATTTACGTGTTATACAACAAAAGTATTTTTTAAAACTTATTCCTAGAAATGAAAAATCAATAGTCTCAGGAAAAATGAATCTTTTTGTAATTTCATTCTAACTAGAGAAGTGAAGACAGGTTACCTGATTGATGGCTCCCAACATCTCAGCCCTACTGGCCACTCGAGCTGTGCACTGGCTAAGAAACTTTATACTCTTCTCCAGCTTCTTAATGATTTCCTGTGCCTGGTTGTCATCTTCACACAGAGGTGTTAAAGACTGTACAGAAAACAAGCATATTAAAAGATATCCAACACAAGTGTTCAGCAAGTGAGTCTAACACTGCCTAAATCGGAAATGTCAACGACATTCTAATCTCAGTTATTTTGGTGGAGGATGAAACGAAGCAGCAAAGACCGATAATGAATGATACTGATACATTATTATCTTTGTTGGCTACTGGGTAGATATATGCAGGTGATCACAAATCTTTTATGTCTATTCTTGATCCCTTATTTCTTTACTTCCCAAATTTGCCACTTCCTTATATGCATTCACATCTTTCTTCTACAGCTAATAGGATGGGCTGCAATTAATTAGTAATGGTAAAGGGATTATGCTTATAAATGAGGTGAAGGTATCATAAGAGGATCATAGGTTGAAATTTTGAGAAATGTAACCAAACATATTGGAATTAAAAATGTCTCTGACAACTATGCTTGTTCTTCCACAGACGATAAGGTATGATTGGGCCAGGTAGGTGGGTATACATTCATTGCCTGATGAATTTTCTTCTCAATCCTGTGCCCTTTATTCAAGATGACACCCTTCCTGATGAACATCTTTCTCACCAGAGTATACAGACAGGATTAAGTGAATAACAGATTTGGAAGCAGACAAGACACTGCTCATAACCTATGTGATTGTAAGCAAATGTCTAAAACTTTCCCAAATCTAAAACAACATGAATTATAAAAGATACCATGATTTTGTATATCATTAAGAAAGAAAAAGTTGTCAATGAAACCATTAGGCACCATTGACTGTAAATTGCATCATAATTTTAGAAATGTTAAAAAAAAAAAATCAATCTTTCTGATTTGCTGTTTCGTCATCTGTCAGATGGAGACAATCACATATCCTCTCCAGGAATACTGTCATATGAGAGGTAAAAGATGCCAACTGCTTGTTGCACATTTGTGCTCAATGAAAGACAACCACTTTTGAAATACACAGATCTGTATAAATTGTAGTTAGAGAGTTTCTAACCAACTAGAATGGCAATTGTCAGACATGCAGTTTCTTACAGTGGTTTAAACCACCATCTCCAGTCGGGAAGGAAAGAACAGATGTGAATTGTTAGCAAACAGAGTATGGTCAACCAGGATTAAGCCATGAAGAAATAAGAGAATCTGAACAAACCCATAACTAGTAAGAAGATTGAATCAGTAATCAAAAATCACCCAACACAGAAAAATCCATGACTGAATGGCTTCACTGAGGAATTCTACCAAACATTTAAAGAATTAATGCCAATCTTCATAAAACTCTTCCCAAAAATTGAAGAAGAGGAATACTTCCAAGCTCATTCTATGAGGTCCACATTACTTTAATAGCAAAGCTAGAAAAAGATGTTACAAGAAAAAAAAAAAAAAAGCTACAGACCAATATCTCTGAAAAATATTAATGTAAACATTCTCAACAAAGTAGTAGTAGACTGAAATCAATAGCACATTAAAAGGATTATACATCGTGTACAAGTAGGATTTATTTCTCTAATGTAAGGGCGAAAATCAATCAATATAACATACCACATTAACAAAAAGGAGGACAAAAACCATATGATCATTTAAACTGATGCAGAAAAAGCATGTGGTAAGATTGAACACTTTTATGATTAAAAACACAAAAACTAGGAATACTAACAAAAAAATACACAAAAAACACCAAGATTATTTTTACTATGTCACTTAAGTGCTAATTTTAAAAAACTAGAAATAGAAGAAGATTACTTTAACATAATAAAAGCTATATATGAAAACCCTACTACAATCATACTCAATGGTGAAAGACTGAACGCTTATTCCTCTAAGGTCAGGAACAAGGCAAAGATCTCACTCTCACCACTATTATTCAACATAGTCCTAGAAGTTCTGATCAGAACAGTTAGGCAAGGAAAATAATGAAAAGTTATCCACTGAAAAGAAGAAGTTAAATTATTTCTGTTTGTAGATGATATGATCTCATAGTAAACACTAAAAAATTCCACCAAAAAACCTGTCAGAACTAATACACACATTCAACAAAATTGTAGGGTACAAAATTAACATAAAAAAATTAGCTGTCTTTCTGCACACTAACAATTTCCAAAAAGGAAATTAAGAAATCAATTCCCTTTACAATAGCATCAAAATGAGTAAAATACTTAGGAATAAACCTAAGGAGAAAAAAGAATTGTATGCTGAAAACTGAAAAACATTGCTGAAAGAAACTAAAGACACAAATAAATGGAAAGACATCATGTGTTCATGGGTTGGTAGACCTAATTTTGTTATCTATACTACCAAAAGTGATCTACAGATTCAAGGCAGTCTCTCTTAAAATCCCAAGGGCATTTTTTGCAGAAATAGAAAAATTTATTCCCAAATTAATATGGACTCTAAAGGGACCCTGATAACCAAAATCCTTTTGAAAAATAAAAAGTAGGACTCCCCCTTCCTAATTTTAAAACATATTACAATGCTAAAATGATTAAAACAGTGTAATACTGGCATAAAAACAGACATATAGAGTAATGGACTAGAATTAAAAGCCCAGAAATAAGTGTATATTAATGAATGATCTTCAACCAGGTGCGAAGAATGCACAATGAGGAAAGGGTGGTCTCTTTAACATGATGTTGCTGAGAAAACTTGATATCCACATGCAAAAGAATGATGTTGGACACTTATCTTACATCATATATAAAAATTAACACAAAATGGATTATATATCTAAAAGTAAGACCCCAAACTAGAACACTCATAGAAGAAAACATAAGGGAAAAGCTTCAAGACATTGGATTTCACAATGATTTCTTGGATATGACACCAAAAGCACAGACAACAAAAGTGAAAATAGACAAATGGAACTACATGAAATTTAAAAGTCTTTATGCATAAAAAGACCCAGTCAACACATTCTATAAGTTACAACAAAAAGTAACTTATAGAATGGGAGAAAATATTTTCAAACTATACAACTGATAAGGGGTTAATATCCACAATATATAAAGAACTCCTGCAACTCGACAATTAAAAAATCCAAATAACTCAATTTAAAAATGGAAAGAGAGTGGCCTGATAGCCCTGCCATATTGAGTGGAGGCTCCCAGGCATGTAGGCCCATGATAATTAAAGAATGATAATCAAAGAACATTTTATGAAGATCACATTCTGTGAAAGATAAGGCTGATCAAAACTGCAAGCCTGCCAGTGTGTTTGATTTTCCTAATAATTCTGCTGTCTCAAGAAGATACAAATAAATGGAAAGATATCCTGTGTCTTGGTGAAAATGAGAAAGATGAAGAACCTTATGAAACCTTTGATCCTCCTTTACACAGCCCGTCTATGTATGCCAATGAAGAATTCTCCAAATATGGATTATCTATCCCTTCAACTCCTCCAGGAAAAGAAGAAAAAAGAAGCTCGAGCACTTCTGAAAATGGAAGGAAGTGAAAACAAATCTGTAAAAATGAGTGCAGAAAAGCCAGGAAGAAAACTCAAACCCATTTGCGATGAGTCTGAAAGCACTGAAGAAAGTGATGTGAGAAAAGCTAAATCAGTGGAGAAAATAAGGACCCAACAACACGAGCCTATTCTAACCACAGCATCTTCAGACCTTTCAGAGAAACCAGCTGACTCAGTCACTTCTAAAAGATAGGACCCATTAGTGTCCAGCCTTCTGTTGAAAAAGACAAACTGACAACAGAAGGTCAAGCAAAAACTCGGAAAAAAGGAAATACATCTTGTGGCAAAAGGAAGAAATCAAGAAGTAAAGCCATAGGCCTAGATATTTCCAACATCGTGCATATTTGGTGTCTAGAAGGAAAGAAAATCAATGACATCATGGAATTGAATATTGCTTGGCCTGCATTTGAGAAAACCCTCATCCAGTATAAACACAGAATAGAATCTAAAGTTTGTAAGAAAGCCATCAATAAATTTTATTTTAATATTAAAGAAGAACTCATAAAAATGCTTAAGGAAGTCCAGATACTGAAAAATCTGGAAAGGAAGAATGCTGAGATGATTTCAGATACCAAAAGAAAAGACAGTGTTTGACCGAAGGCCAGGATGGACTGCTTTGGTTAGAGCCACAACTGAAGCAACTACAAACAAAATAGTAAGAACTTAAGGGGAGAAAAGTCTTCCCTTAGGAATGCAGCTACTTCTTACCTAATTGAAAACAGCTTTATCGGAAGTATTCAGATGTTCAGGAGAAAGAACCACACATAAAGGAAACATGATTCATGCAAACTCCCAGGTCTGTTATTTAAAGCAAGAACAATTTTGGGAGCTGAAAACCATCGGTAAAATATCAGCCATCAATGAGAGAAGCTACCAGGTAAGAGACCAGTCTACTAAAATGAGCCTATAGAAAGATTAGTCTCATTCTACTATGCTACCTTCTGAAACTGTAATTTTTTTTTTTTTTTTTTTGAGATGGAGTCTTGCCGTCACCCAAGATGGAGTACAATGGCGCAATTTTGGCTCACCGCAACCTCCACTTCCCAGGTTCAAGCAATTCTCCTGTCTCAGCTTCCCGAGTAGCTGGGATTACAGGTGCATGCTACCATACCCAGCTTCTTTGGTTTGTTTGTTTTTGAGATGGAGTCTCTCTCTATTGCCCAGGCTGGAGTTGGAGTGGCACTATTTCAGCTCACTGTAACCTTCACCTCCTGAGTTCAAGTGATTCCCCTGCCTTAGGGTCCCAAGTAGCTGGAACTACAGGCACCCACCACCACACCTGGCTAATTTTTGTATTTTTTGTAGAGACGGGGTTTCACCATGCTGGCCAGGCTGGTCTCAAACTCCTGACCTCAGGTGATCTGCCCAGCTTGGCCTCCCAAAGTGCTGGGATTACAGGTGTGAGCCGTCGTGCCTGTCCCCAGTTAATTTTTGTATTTATAATAGAGAAGGGGTTTCACCATGTTGGCCAGGCTAATCTCGAGCTCCTGACCTCAGGTGATCTGTCCACCTCAGCTTCCTGAAGTGCTGAGATTACAGGAGTGAGCCACTGCACCCAGCCCTGAAACTGTATTTTTATAAATAAATTTTTTTGCAAAGAAAATAGGAAAAGGACTTTAATAGATATTTTTCTGAAGATGATATACAAATGGCCAACAAGCATAGAAAAGATGCACAATGTCATTAATCATTAGCGAAATACAAACCAAACCACAAGAAGATACCACCTTACACCCATTAGGGTGATGACCATAAAATCAAACAGAATATAACAAGTGTTGGTGAAGATCTGGAGAAACCGGAACCTTGTGCACTGTTAGTAATAATGTAAAATGATATAGCAACTATGAAAAACAGTACAGTGGTTCTATAAAATTAAAAATAGAACTGTATGATCCAGCAAGTCCACTCCTGAGTCCAGATATACTCAAAAGTAACTGTAAGCAGGGTCTCCAAGAGATATTTGTACACCTATGTTTCAAACAGCGCTATTCACAATAGTCAAGAAGTGGATGCAGTCCAAATGTCCATTGATGGATGAATAGATAAGCAAAATTTGGTGGATACATGAGAATATTTTTGAGCCTTAAAAGGGAAGGAAATCCACTCACATGCTATATTATGGATAAGCCTTGAAGACATTATATTAAGTGAAATAAGCCAGTTACAAAAGACAAATACTATATAAATCTACTTATGCGAAGTCCCTAAGGTAGTCAAATTCATAGAATCAGTAGGATAATGGTGACCAGGGGATGGGGTAAGGCGGAAAAGGAAAATTAACAGGTAGAGAATTTCAAGATCTATTTTGCAACAATATAAATAAACACACTATTGAATTGTACACTTGAAAATGTTCAAGACGGTAAATTTTATATCATATATTTTATCACAGTAAAAAATAACATGATTCTTTTCCATGGTTTCTCAATTTTAATATCTTTCATCCAAAATTAAGCCTACTAATCTTCCAGCTCATCTCTAAATGTATGGTAACTTCACCATGTGGAAGAATAATAGTTGTTACACTCCTGTGCACCCCCATTCTTCTCTCAGTACCCTACATCAGGCTTGCCCATCATCTGGAAGACTGAATCAGTTACTATTTTCTTTCCTCAGTTAATCATAAATGGAAATAGCCTCGATTCTCTTCTTTGAAGCTTAAAATTGATATTATTTCCTATTGCCCAGTTTTCTCCATGATTCCTCTTCTGCCTGAAATTTGAAAATCCTGAGAAAAGGCAGATGACTCATGCGTCTACTTTAAAAAGACATTTTTCATTTGATTGCTGATACTCTCCTATTAGAGAAACTTTTATTTCAGCCTGATCCTGAATTCTTACTCTCTATTCACATTTGGCTCAGGAAGAGCTTCATACCTGGTGCTGGTTTGGGTCATACATGTAATTGCATATGTAATTATGAAAATGTTATTAAAAATATGACCAAATGTTTTCTGTGGGTGTTTTCTGTTTTGTTTTTGAGACAGGGTCTCGCTCTGTCACCCAATCTGATGTGCAGTGGTGTGACCATAGCTCCCTGCAGCCTCCAACTTCTGGGCTCAAATGATACTCCAGCCTCAGCCTCCCAAGTAGCTGGGACTACAGGCATGCACCACCACACCTGACTGATTGTTTTGTTTTTGGTAGAGATGGGGTCCCACTATGTTGCCCAGGCTGATCTTGAACTCCTGGCCTCAAGTCATCCTCTTACCTCAGCCTCCCTAAGTGCTGCGATTATAGGTGTGAGTCACCGTGCCTGGCTAGACCAAATGTTTACACCCCAAATGTTCTGATTCTCACCTCTAATAGTTTTAAACAGTTAGTGATTTCTTTCTTCAAATTTTCTTCTGCCAAGTCACGGGACCTCTCTTCAAGCTTCACTCTCTTCTCCAAGGTAAACCAGTCACACTTAAATCCCAAAGATAATCTGAGAAATTCTGCCTGTTGTCAAAATAATGTGAGGGTGAGGAGAGAAAAATTGATGTGGTCAGATGTTTCAGTTTAATGCTGTTTTATACAGAGGCAACATAATGCTAAACAGGCACAGGCTTCACCTGTACTGAGTCACTGCCAAGCCAAACAGCCACTGACCATAAGGGAGCTTGTGCAATAGCATGAAGTGACTGTAGCAGGTGAGTCTGGAACATTTTTTTTTTTCCTTTAGATGAAATCTCACTCTGCCACCAGGCTGGAGTGCAATGGCATGATCTCGGCTCCCTGCAACCTCTCCCTCCCAGGTTCAAGTGATTCTTCTGCCTCAGCCTCCCGAGCAGCTGAGATTACAGGCATGCACCACCACAGCCAGCTAATTTTTTGTATTTCTAGTAGAGACAGGGTTTCACCATGTTGGCCAGGATGGTCTCGATGTCCTGACCTCATGATCTGCCTGCCTCGGCCTCCCAAAGTGCTAGGATTACAGGTGTGAGCCACCACGCCCAACCTGGAACACTTTTAAAAGGAAAAAAAAATTTGCTTTAAACTCACCTCAACCTCCTTCTCATTAGCAGAAGTGCTGTAGGATAAGATAAAAAACAAATTCAAACATAATCCAACAGAAAAATAAAACCTGTTAACATGCTACATGAAGAAGCACTTACTTGTCACTTTGTCTAAAGTTAACTGATTTCACAGTGGTTACAGGAAGAGGGGAAACTGCAGAGTCTATTAAAAGACAATAAAATGTTATTTGGGTAAAAAGGCTTAACATGTAAAAGCATGTCTGATCTAATGTATCTCCACTAAACAAAGGTGTTTCATTTAAATGTGTCTGACATGATAGCCAGCTAATAACGTTTGCACTTGAATTATGTTATGCTAAGCTACTTGGATCAAAATGACACTAAAATCATTGGTTTATACCTCAGCATGTGAATAGTCTTTCAGATTTAAAGATGTGTCAGAATCAAGCAACAGCCCAATTTGTTCTCTTTGCATTTGCATGGTTTTTTGTTTGTTTGTTTTTTGAGATGAAGTCTCACTCTTGCCGTCCAGGTTGGAGTGCAATGGCACAATCTTGGCTCACTGCAACCTCTGCCTCCTGGGTTCAAGCGATTCTCCCACCTCAGCCTCCTGAGTAGCTGGGATTACAGGCGCCCACCACCACACCTGGCTAAGTTTTTTATTTTTAGTAGAGATGGGGTTTCACCATGTTGGCCAGGCTGGTCTTGAACTCCTGACCTCAGGTAATCCACCCACCTTGGCCTCCCAAAGTGCTGGGATTACAGACATGAGCCACCGTGCCTGGCCTGCATGTTTGTTATGCTTGATCCCATGGCAAAAGCCTAAACCTTCTGCTGGTATCCTGGTTCTTCTTTGGATCAAGGCTTTATTAGCAGTTGCAAGAATAGAAGTAGTAATAATACTGGTAACAATAACAGTGACAATAAACATGGCATCAACCATGGCTTTATTATATTGCCAGGGCCAGAGCAAAGCACTTTACACATACGATTTTATGACAACTTTACCAAGGACAATGCATTAGTTATTAAGAGCATTGGATTTAAAGTCGAACAAACTTGGTTTAAATCCGAGCTTTGATTCTTACAGTTATGTGAGAATACTATTTATAATAGTAGCTAACTTTTATGAGAGCTTTTGCGCCAGGCACTTTTCTTTTTTTCTTTTTAACTCTCTTGGCCTGGCTAGAGTGCAATGGCGCAATCTTGGCTCACCGCAACCTCCACCTCCCGGGTTCAAGTGATTCTCCTGCCTCAGCCTCCTGAGTAGCTGAGATTACAGGTACGTGCCACCACTCTCAGCTAATTTTTGTATTTTTAGTAGAGATGGGGTTTTGCCATGTTGGCCAGGCTGGTTTTGAATGCCTGACCTCGTGATATGCCTGCCTCAGTCTCCCAAAGTACTGTGATTACAGGCGTGAGCCACCGCACCTGGCCTGTGCCAGCCACTTTTCTAAGTGCTTCATATATATTAATTTAATCAATCCTCACAGCGAACCTTCTGTTGTAGATATTTTCAAGGCTACATAACTGAATTACAAATTCACCACTTCACATAGTATTTGGAGGACTAAATAAAACTAGGCACATGAAGTTAACCTAGTTCTTAGCATAGAATATATTCGCAGTTAAGTGTACTTTTCTTCTCTTCATTTTCCTCTTGCAAATGAGAAAATTGAGACTTGAGGTTAAATAACTTTCCAAGATCACATAGCTAGTCAGAGATTGATCCCCATGTAGAATCTCTATGACTCCAAAGCCTGAACTCTATTCACTATTCCATCCTAATGGAGACAGGCTAAGGAGGAAAGCATACTAGCACTTATTCTGTAAATAGTGGCTTTACTTTTAGATGGGATACTAAAAAAGAACTCAAAGGAGAGACAGCATTTGCTGCAAGTATTGGCTTGATCCTTAGTTCACAGTAAAGCACGAGTTATGACAAGTTTTCTGGGATCAGTCAACGTGGCTTTTTAAAAATGATACCAATGGAATCAATAATTGGTCCTATTTGCTGACCTTATCTAGAGATGCAGAATTTGTAGGTGACATACCTTTCCTCAGACAGACTTCACCCACAAAAATTGCAGCACAGAACAAAAATTCACATGGGGATTGTGAGAAACATCCCTTACCTCCTGAAGCACGTTCTTTTTTATGTTCTTCTCTTGTTTCTGGTTTCTCTTTGGCTTCCTAAAATCATAAGGAGATTTTATTGCTGTACATAGAGTGGAAATCCTTCATAACCAGTCATTTTCCTACTTCCTGTCCTCTCCTAAGCCTATTCTGACAAAAGCACTCTACAACAATACTCCCCAATCTTTTTGGTACCAGGGACCAGTTTCCTGGAAGATAATTTTTCCGCGGGGGTGGAGTAGCAGTCGGGTGGGGGGAAATAGTTTCAGGATGAAACTGTTCCACCTCAGATCATCAGGTATTAGATTCTCATAAGGAGCATGAAATCTAGATGCCTCGCTTGCATAGTTCACAATAGGGTTTGTGCTCCTATAAGAATCTAATGCCACTGATTTGACAGGAGGCGGAGCTCCGGTGGTCCTGCTCCCTGGCCTGCTCTCACCTCCTGCTGTGTGGCACAATTCCTAACAGGCCACAGATGGGTTCTGATCCCTGGCTCAGGGGTTGGGGACCCCTGCTCTATAGTATTTAAAGCTGTTAAGAAGGAAATAAAATTGGCTGCAAGGGGGCTTCCAATCTAGTTGAAGCAAAAACATGAAAAGATACAAACATGACACGAATTACAATAATGCAAACCAGGATTCATTGCCAAATAAATGAAATAAATAAACAAGTGTTCTGAATAAGGAAGGAGATGGCCAGGCATGGTGGCTCAAGCCTGTAATCCCAGCACTTGGGTGGTTCACCTGAGATCAGGAGTTCAAGACTAGCTTGGCCAATATGGCGAAACCCAGTCTCTACTAAAAATACAAAATTAGCAA